AAAAGAGAAGTGTTAAAGAGAAAGTTTTTTTAATCTTTGAAGGGATTTCATTAACTTTAAAGTTAGCATAACTGTGTACTCCTAGCTTTCAACCTGAACTTTTTATGGTAATATAAACCAAGAATGTGTAGTGCGCTAACTCCTAGATTGTAAGCTCCCAGGATCAGGGCCCTCCTAACCCTCTTGTATTGAACTATTGTTGCTGTATTGTCTCCCTTTATATTGTAAAGCGCTGAGCAAACTGTTGGCGCTATATAAATCCTGTATAATAATAATAATAATAATAATAATAATAATAATAACTGCTCATATTTTTATATACACGTTTTTGGAGTCGTGATTGAGTGAAGAAATTCTGGATTCGTCGCCACATAAAAGGATTCACTTCTGTAAAAACCCATTTGACCTATTATAATTTGTAGTTCAAACTTAAAAGGTGAGCAGGGAGAGTATCTTGAGCACAAGCACGTCTTCTGGAAAGTGATTGTTAAACGCACTAATTCAGACATTCTGTGATTTGGGAGTTGGACTTTTAATGGAGAGTGGATTTACCTTGCATAAGATTACTGGAGGAATATTTTATTTCATTTATATGTCTGGATGAGGAGTTAGTGCACTACACATTCTTGGTTTATATCAATTTTAAGTGAGAGTACACTTAGGGAGTGGGTGCAGCAATTGTCCTTTGTTTATTTTTAATTTGGGTGTATCAGCGCACGAGTGTGAGCCTTTTCACTTTTCATGGTAATAGTTCCAAGTGGGAAAATTTGCAACATTTTGACCAAATTTTAGTGAAATTGATAATTTTGTTACAAAAGTAAGGTGATTGTACATATACTCAGTGAAGTGACTGGCCTCAGGTGACACAGAAATGAAACAAATCCTCCTACATAAGTTGTACCTGTTTATCTATAGCATTTTTTCTCTACATCTATTCAAAGTGCAGAATTTACAGGATCATTCAGCTCCGAAAAGCAGGGAAATGAAGTTACATCAGTAAAGGAGAGCTCTAAGAGCTGATTGGAGGGAAGGGTCATAACCCCCCAACCAGGCACATGGCAACAGAGCAGAGGCTGTCAATCTGCTGGAGGTCCCTCCCCATCACCATTTTTTTTTCTTGGTGTCAGAAAAACTTGTCAGAAGACACTTGACAAACACAAATGACACTTAGTACTCTAGATTGAGACAATCACATACTATAGAGGGATATGCTTTGTTCAGATTTCTTGTCTGAGCCCTCTCTGTGCATCACCCTAGGTGCGTAAGTGATATATACCAGGTGGTGGGAAGAGTTTTGGAGAGTGTGGAGTCGTTGGGTCCAGAGCTGGTAGAGTAAGACCCATTTCCTGAAAGGATGAAGTTGTTTCCTGGACTACAATGCCGTGGCATTTTAAGCGTGGGGCAACCCTTCAATGGCAGAGAATGGAAGCAGAATAATTATTTTGCCTGCCAAAGCATGGAAAGACTGTAAGTAAATATTGGGTGCTGTAACTCTCCTCCTGGAATTCCCTTGTAAATGTCAAAATAAGTAGAAAGTATCTGTAACATTACATGGAGCTTGTTGTACTCAGCTCCGGTAATCTTTAATACCATATAGCTGGAGATGTATCTACTATCAAAATCACAAGTAAAGGTTCTCTTTTGCAAACAATACTGGATTGGTTGTTTGTTCTTTATAAGAAGGTTACAGAACAGCTCTTTGGGGAAGGGGTAGTTGGGCTGTATATGGTGAACGATGTAATAGACAAGCCTACCATTATCTCAAGCAGGAAGACCACTCTGAGCATCAGATCCTCACTGGCCAGGTGGCCCTTGTACAGTGCCTGAAGCTCCCTTAAATATCTGTTGAGACAAGGCATACCTCTGGCAGTATATTACTGTGGAAAATGAGCCATCGAACATGGGTTCTAGCTCTCTGCCCCCTGCCCCCTGCCCCCCTTATGTCTGGAAGGTTCTAAAGCAGTGGTTCTCAACCTTAGTCAGACCAGAACCAGGTTAATTCTTCTAAAAATGTTCCATGCCCCAACAGTTAAAAAAAAAAAAAAACCTTTATACTCACACATTAAAAGAATGGGAATACAACATACATGTTGAAAGTCTGGAAAGCTTTGGATGGGTGTTACTGTTGGGTGGATGAAGGTTCTGGAGGGGGTTAGTTGACTCTGCAGCAGACTTGGTGGCCATGTAGGGGATGAGGTTTCTGGAGGAAGCTGGGGGCAACTGTGGGGGATGTGATCTTTTGAGGGGCTAGGTGTCTCCAGGAGGCCGGGTGTTTTGCACAGCAATGTGCTAGACTGGAGGTCACTGCAGGGGCTGGGGGGGGAACATTATTTGCATTTATACATGTTTTGCAGAGATGTATTGCATATGTAACTTTTGTATATTTTTCTCTGACATAACCCTTCTAAATTCTATCCAAACTTAAAAAAAAAAATTGGGTTAAACATTACACTGGATCACCTATAGTGTTGGTTGTGAAAATCCGCAGTAGACTACCAATGGCCAGGAATGGCTTACATATATTGTTCTGGAATACGTTGTCAAAACACTAAACGGTAAACACAGAAAAAAAAGAATCTTGGGAACAGAGAAGAAGCTTTTTTCCTGTACAGAACATTCATTAGCAAGGTCTGGCGCCCTAAGTTCTGTGCCCAAGAAAACAATTATAAGGAATATCCTAGCTAGTAGGAGAATAACAGGATAAGCAAAGAGGAAAGTCATCAATGCCGTCTTTTTGGATAAAGCTGACCCATAGATGAACTGTTGACTTAAAAGCACAATACAAAATGCTGAAGGACTGAAGGGATTAGGAAGTGGCACAGAGATGTGATGAAGCAAATGTCTCCTCCCAGAGATGATCATGATGACCATAACGGGGACATCTAGGATCGGACATGAACGATCACAACAGGATTTGCAACCTTGCCTTTCTAAACACCTGAACTGTGGCACATTATTATAAGGCCCCAAATCATTGCCCCAACACCCTCCACCATGGCCACCTACCACCACCCCTGCTGCCAACACAAGATCACCCACCATCTGCCCTCCCAATCACCACCATCCTCTGCCACCGCTGCCAACACCCGATCACCCAATTAAAACAACTAACCTGCACAAGAGGCAGCTGGCCATACCTGCACCCTCCAGCAGTTTGCAGCTTCTTCACCAGTTCCCTGTCCCTGCCACTTCTTCCAGGGGAGGGCGCTCCCCATGAAAATTGCTGCCCAAGGCAAACATCTTGGTTGCCTCACGGTAAATATGCTGCTGGGGATCGGACTGTTCTCGGTGGGAGTAGAACATTTCCTGCATCAGTAGGAATAAACAGTGTTCTATCTTTGGTGTCAGTTGAGAGAATAGTGCCCCATCATTGGTGTCAGTGGGAGGAAAAGTGCCCCATCGTTGGTGTCAGTAGGAAGAATAGTGCTTCATTATTGGTATCAGCGGGAGGAACAGTGCTCCATCATTGGTGTCAGTGGAATGAATAGTGGTCCATCATTGGTGTCAGTAGTAGGCCCCAGGAGTAGGAGGAATAGCGCCCCATCATTGGTGTCATTAGGAGGAAATAGCGCCCCATCAGTAGGAGGAATAGTGCCCCATCACTGATGTCAATGCAAGAAATAGCGCTCCTTCACTGGTGTCAGTTGGAGGAATAGTGCCTCATCATTAATGTCAGTGGGAAGAATAGTGTCCCATCTTTAATATTAAGTGGAGGAATAGTGCGCCATCATTCCTGTCAGTTGCAAGAATAGTGCCTTACCATTGGTGTCAGTGGAAGGAATAGTGCCCCATTGTTGGTGTCAGTGTCCCCATTGTTGGTGTCAGGGTAATAGTGCCCCATCATTGGTGTCAGTGGGAGGAATAGTGCTCCATTAATGGTGTCAATGGGAGGAGTAGTGCTCCTTCATTGGTGTCAGTGGAAGAGTGCTCCATTGTTGGTGTCAGTGGGAGCAGGGCAGGTGCTTCCACTAGGCAAATTAGGCAGCACTGCCACCTAGGGGCACCTGGGCTCAGCACAGGCCAGCACTCTCTCTGAGTGTGATGCCACCACATCATGACTGATCCTCTAGCTGATGGGAGGGATGGCAGAGGGGAGGAAGAAAGGACAGAGGAAGACGCCCAGTGTCTGGGGCCAGCTGAGCTGCCGATCCTTCCACTGTTCCTCTCAGACTCAGTCCTTTACTGTAAGCCGGCTGGCAGCTGCTGATCACTGAGGAGTTCCAGCCCTTCTCTTCCCATTCAATAGTGGAGGCAGAGCTGTGCCTGTAGAGGAAGGTAATGTCTGATGTCTCGTGTCTGTGTGAGCGTGACCTGGCTGGCCATCCATCACATGTACAATGTGTCAGTGAGTGATGACATCATCACGATCCCAAAGCCTACTCTTCCAGTGCCTGCTGGGCCTGCTGATCTGTGTCAGTGTTGGGTGGTGGTGTGTTGTGTCGGATCTGGTAGTGTGTGGGATCGCTCAGTTCAGATGTTCTCTGTGTGTGTGGGCTGGGCTGTCTGTCACAGTGTTTTATCTCCCCCCATTGCCTGGGGAATTCCAGCCTGGGATCTGTCAGTGTGGATCCATCATCCTCCGCTCACTGCAACTGTCACCCTGCCACTGCCAGCCACAGATACAGTCTGTCCGTGACACTGATTTTGTCTTTAATATTGGTGCTGGTGGCAGCTTAGGACATGTATTTTGGCAAATGAAAAGAAATATAGCAGTTTCATGTTTTGTTGATTTAATACTTTCTACCATGTTTAAAATTTTTTATTTATCTTTTTTTGGGGGGGCACAAGTAGCTGGTCTTGCCTAGGGTGCAAAATAGCGTAGCACCAGCCCTGGGTGGGAGGAATAGTGCCCCTTCATTAGTATTAGGTGGAGGAATAGGGAGCCAAGGTGCATTAATTACCTTATCCCTTGGTCCAGCAGGCTTCAGCGCTGTTCTCTTCTACCCAAAGCTCCAGGCTGTGGGTGGCCCCCAGACAGCACAAGGCTATTAACCTTTCAGGGTCAGAGCCCCCTTAACCTCCCTGGCGGTATTCCCGAGTGTAGCTCGGGGTAAAGTTTCTGTACCAAAAGCGGTAACCCCGAGCTACACTCGGGCTTACCATGCGGCGCTGCATAGGGAGTCCCTGCAGCGCTTACCTTGTCCTGCGCTCCCGCGATGTGTCCCCTGCAGCGTCCCCGGCCATCTCCTCCGGCTGATGCCAGCATCCAGCTTCTGTGTTCCGGTCCCTGTGACGTCGGGACGTACGGGCGCCGCCGGCGGTGGGAAATGTGAAAATTTTTAAAAAAATTAAATTTTTTTCAAAACGAATTTTACATAGTAAAACCTTGCTGTTTCAACCATTTCACATACATTTTGTCCCGAGTGCTTTGTCCTGTGCCCTGCCTGCATTTTTACTGTTCTTTCTGCCTGGAAACTTAGAAACGTCCATGGCGTCCAAAAAGCGTCCCTTTAGGTCAAAAGCGGTTTTAGACCGGCTAGAGAACAGCGATAGTAAATCAGAACCACTTGCAGAATTGAGTGATAATGATTCGTGGGGGAATTCCTCATCAGACACTGAAAACGATTTTGCGACTTTGCTCATCAGTGATGTGCAAACTTGGCGATATATTTCAAATTTTTAGGGTTTTTGGTTTGATTATATTATTGAATTAAATTTATTATTATTATATTATTTTTTATGATTATTTATTAAATTATAATTTATGATTTTGTGTTTCCAATTTTATCATACCCGGGATGTTTACTAGACTCTTGTTCGGACAGATTTCAGTGAGTTATTCCTAAAAAATTACAGGCCTACAATAAAAAAACAACATATTTCCATGCAAAATAATGTACCGCTTTCAGCACCAAAAATCTGAAATAATCATACCGCTAGGGAGGTTAAGAGGCACAAGCACTGGACTGGTGGCATGGATGGAGGAAGCACCTTTCAAGTGCTTTTTACTTGCTTAAACATCCTGCCTGCCCCCTATTTAGTGGTGTATAGGAGGGGGCTGTGGAGTAAAGTTCAGCATAATTAACCCCGTCTGTGCTGTGCTCGCAGTTCTTCATTATCAGTTGTAAACTAGATTTGAACACTGTCCCAACAAAGGGTTAGAAATGTACAAATCGTATGCATTGTATGTTAAAGTGGACCTTTACCCCAATGGGTGTGCTGCCCTGCCTCCTCCCCCTCCACTCTTACAATTGGAAATTCATTTTTTATTAATTTTTAAAAGCACTTTATTTGTTCTGCAAAGCAGCACTTCTGCAATTCTTGCAGGGCTCAGGTCCTGAGACGGCCCTGTCGCACATCTGCGCATGTGTCAGTTTCCCCGCCCTTCTGCTCACATGCAGGGGTTTCCCAAGCACACACTTATGCAGGCCATAGACGGGTCGAAAATAGTCCGATTTTCCCAGCAATGATGGGCAAATCGGCCGATCGTTTAACCGATAAAAAAAAAATCCGCAAGAAGAAAAAGAAGAAAAGAGAAAAAAGAAGGAAGAAAGAAGAATTCCAGTCCGCTATTATATTTTATAGGAAAAGTCTTGCGGTTACAACAATGTATCCATTTGTATACGAATAAAAACATCTGTATCCAAAATGTATACAAATGGATACATTGCTGCAACCTCAATAATTTTTCATGTCAAATATAATAGCAGAGCTCTCTGCAGGGACAGAAGTAATTAAATTCCGGCCGTAGACGGGATGAAAATCAGACAATTTTTTTTTTACCATTGGTGGTAAAGTCGGCCTATTGAACAACCGATTTTTCTTTTTTTTTTTTTTTAAATGGCCGGTTTTCGAGCCATCTATGGCCTGCATAAGCCTGCAACCATAGAAGTCTGCAACCCTCCTTGTCTTTGGGCACACACAGAAAATCACCTGCCTGTGCTCAGATGTGCCAATGGGCTCTACCAGGACCCAAAGGCTGGGAAGAGGCCGTGGGCACCTCTGAGCATGCTCCATAATGATGGTGCCTGAGGATGGAGTGGAGCCACCTTGGTAGGCAAGATGAAGTTCTGCTTTAATGAGGGATAGCTCAGTCTGTGCGGGGACAAAGACACTGCTAGACTGTCCAGAAAATCTCTATAGCAGGGTTTTCTCAAATTTGACAGCAAAAGTGAAAATATGCTTTAACCACTTCCTGTCCGGCCCATGTATATAAATGGCCGGACAGGAGTACTGCAGGGGCGGGGTGCCGTTTATAAACATCCTCCCCACTTCCCTGCTTGTGCGCGCTCCCTGGGAACACCGATCATTGTACGGGACCTATGTGTGAGGTCCTGATCATGTGACCACTGATTGGCCAATCAGTGATCACATGAATAGGTGTAAGCAAAATGTCACAAAAATAGAACAGAAACAGGCCACCTAAATTGACACAAATAGCTGGTGTCATTGTCATATCTCCGACTCACTTATACAAGTGTGGATCCATAAACCCAAGAAAATGCATGCCAAACAATATGGTAGTGTGACAAGGGCACTCCTACCTGAAAAAAGAAGGTTACTAAATGATCCACGCGGAGTAATATGGATTAAAAAAATCCAGGCAATACTTTATTTGATCACATAGATCATAAGGAGGTTAAACATGAGCACGGTGAACATGTCAAACAAAATAAAATCATGTTAAAAAGCACTTGGCGTCTTCATTATAGGGTCATCTTAGCAAGTAGAGCACCATATAAGGCAATATAGAGTAATGGTGAGGTAGTTTCGCCTAGATTTCCATGGATTTCCAGCTTATATTGGAGTAAGCCATGTATTCAGCAGATATGTTCCCAATATATGTCAGGAGCCTCCTGGTATATGGAAGCTGGAATACAAAAATACACAATGTGTATAAGAAAATGTAGGAGCTGAATCGCATCCAAGCCTCACCAAGCCTCCCTCTACAGTAATTCGTGGACACTTCTATTACCTTCTCAGTTATGAGACTGTCATACCGACTTCTCAAATGTAGGGACTTCCTGGGTAGCCACCCCAAGTGAAACAAAGTCCACAGTACCAGATGATTCTGAGGATATATATAAAAAGATAAGTGTATATATCACAGGCATCAAGTAACCCCTGAAAATAAGAACCACAATATGAGTATATTACCATCAATAAAGATCAAGAAGACTCCCGTCGACTTGAAATAGGATCAGGTCCTTGATGCTTGTTTAGAGATGTATAAGGGGGTGGGAATCCAGGTAGTCACAATATGTAAATTCCAGACACATATAGTGTATATATAGCAGGCCGTGTGTACCTGAGTCTATATACCCAATGAAGGGTTTCCAAAAATTACTCAATCTGAGAGAATTGAAGCGGTTTCATTAGGATATGGCTATGTCACATCATACAGTGCCAAAAAATAGGATAGCGTGTAAATATATATATATATATTATCCTCCAAAGAGGATTTCCAAAAAATTCCCAGAGTATGCAGGGTAAATTAGGCCCGTATAACATGCCTTCTTAACTCCATAAATGCTCTATAAATCTAAACAGCTGTAAGCTTAAATAACTTGCCACCGGTGGAAGGTATATTCCCCTGGGGGATTGCCGTTTGCGAGCCGCTGTAATAGTAGCCTTATGGTAGTTTTTCAGAGGGCCTCGTGCCTTCCTAGCAAGGAGCTGTGACACCGCCGTTCCTTCCCACCTCGTGGGCGCCGCACCCTGTGAAGACGCCGAGCGTAGTGACGTCAATATGTTGACGCGTTTCGTCCGCCAATCACCGCAGACTTCGTCAGAACTGGGAGGGGACTTCAGTCCTTTGCCTTATATGGTGCACTAATTGCATACCAAAGAATCTCCACCTCGCCATCTTGTGTTGAAAGAGTATCACTACATTTGAAATATCCAAAGTGAATTAAAACACATATATTAAATTTAAATTGACTGCTGGCAATAGCAAGGGGAGACCATATTACTGTAAATCAGATCATCTTTGAAGAGGATACTGGAAAGAACTTATTATTATAGTAATTATTATTCAAAGAGGGAGACATCCAGACAGGGTTCAATTTCCTAATTTTAATATTGATCTAATTGTTATAGGAGTTTAATGTATAGTGGGAATAAGGAGAATCGCATAGTTAGATTCATACTTTTCTCCAGATAAACCAATATTTCATTCCCATATATAGTGCCCCAGTACAGGTTATAACTCAAGATATATTAAAGGTTCCAAGAAATTCAATTCAAAAAAACTCCAAAATTGAGTTCTGTGTTTAGACCATATGGGACAAGTGCACCCAGGGTATAAATCCAGAATTTTTCTTTTTGTAGGAGGACTTTATCAAAGTCCCCCCGACGAGCTGAAATATTCAGCAGGAAAATCCCTTTCACTTTCAAACCTTCTGTTTTACCCCCGTGTACTTCTTTGAAGTGTTGTGCCAGTGGGTTCTCTTTCTCTCCCTTTCTTACATTCCTATTTTCATTTCTGATATCTCTCAGATGTTCACCAATCCTAGTCCTGAGGTTCCTTTTTGTTTTTCCTATATACATCTTCTTGCATGGACATTCTATCATGTATATTATTCTACTACTGGAGCAATTAATAAAGCTTCGTATCTGGAATGCCTTAGATTTATCATTGTTGTAGAACTGATTAGACTTACAAATTACAGACAAATTACAGACTTACAAAACTGTACAAATGGACAAATTTGGCAGTGGCCACATGGGAACATACCACATAGGCCAGTCCTCCTAGTTAACCAATTTCTTTGTGGTGCCCTCTGAAACTCTGATTGTACTAATATATCATTTAAGTTCCGAGCCCTTTTCGCTACCATTTGGGGGCTCTCCCCTACCACTCTTGCTATCTGTGGATTTTGAGTTAGTAAGTACCAATGAGAGTCCAGGGCCTTCTTAACTTCGCCCCATTGTTGTCCAAATTTAGTTATGAATCTTACTGGTTGATTTGCCGAATTCGCCCCTGCCTTTGATTTTGATTTATTTATAAGCTCCTCTCTTGTTCTACCAAGGGCTCTTCTTTTTGCTCTTCTTAGGGTTCTATGTGAGTAACCTCTTTCTCTAAACCTCTTGTAGAGCTGAATAGATTCATTTCTATATTCAGCTTCTTCTGTACAGTTCCTTTTTATTCTCTGAAACTGACCAATGGGTATTCCCTGTTTTAAACTTTTTGGATGATAGCTATTAGCATGTAAAAGTGTATTGGCCGCTGTTTCCTTTCTAAACGTTTTGGTGACTAATTTATTTCCGTAGATAGAAATTGATAGATCCAAAAATGTTATTACCTCTCTATCTACTGTGTAAGTAAGTTTGATATTCCTATCAT